TATTTTTTTTTTTTTACTGATGATTTAGCTACATGTTTGTCTATGGCCCTTGACCAGGTTAGGAATAGCGGTCATCTCTCATGACGACAGACAAACAGTCACATAAATGCACAGGCTGTCAGAGCCATGACCTCCTTTTTTTACTTTCTTCTGTGAGTATTGTGCCAAGTTCTCCACCTTTGCAAATAAGATAAGAGCACAACTGCAAGAACTCTCCCAGCACTGCGGTAATGTTTAACCAGATAATTATTCTCTTAGCAGCAGGAAAAGTAAATGGGCACAATTTTTTTCAGCCCTGTCATTTCAATACTTCATATTCATGTGACAGGACAACAAAATGGAAGAGACATTGGAGAAAGAGATCCCGCCATCTGAAGTAAAAGATTCTAATGAAGGTATGAATTTTGATTTAAAACGTCATAGTGAATCACTTTTAAAAAGAGCATGTTTTTTTCATTATGAATGTATTCATTGTTTATCCATTAGTGACTGCTGAAGTTTTTTTTTTGATGAAAAGGTTTGGATGAAACATTTTATCAGATGAAAAACTGAAAACAAAAAATCATTTGACTGTAATTTGCCCTGCTTTTTATAAAATGACATTTATGTAAAAAAAAATGTATTAGCAACAATTAGATATTTATAAGCTCTTGCAATAATGCTGAAGTTGGAATCCAGCTAACAGGGAACATTCTCAGAAGTTTGTTTAACATTGTGGCAAGGTTCTCACAAAATTATGAGCAAAAGTTCTTTCAGTAACATTGGCACAAAAATGTTATTTATACAGCACTCATGGAATGTTTTTTTCTGAAACGCTTTTAGTTGGACACTCAACTAATGTTTTTAAATGTTAATACTTAATAACATTTAAAATTAACATACCCATAATGTTCGCAAAATAATAAAATGGAATGTTCCCTAAATGTTAGCATATAGCCAAGAAAAAAAAACCTGCATTTTGAATGTTCAGAGAACCTCAATAAATAATGATTTTATAAAATAATGAGAACATTAGCAAAATGTTCTTAGAATATATTTTTGTGAGCTGGCATCATCCATAACTGGCGTGATTCTTATCTAATGTCAATGCATCTACATTTCTTCTGAAACATGCACTGAGGGCCTTTTCATACACTTATGAATTCTGACTACTTGTGGTTGGTTTTACCTTAGCTAATGTTACAAAGTAAACTGCAATACTTTCAGCAGACAAAGCAGCAAAGGAGTGAGTGATTTGTTTGTTTGGTAGGTGGAATTCGGCTGCGATTGAGAGACAGAGACCTGTTGAAGAAACGAAAGGCTGAGGCAGAGGAAAAGGCAACCAACCAGTGGGTTTATGGGTAAAGCTAGTGTTGAATTAGGCCAATAAAAGCACTGGAAAAGGCCTAGAGCACTTATTTATTTTTCAATTTATATGACATTGTGATATTATGACGCAAATGCACAAATTTGGATTAGTCATTCAAATAATGTATCTTAATATTGAACACAGGGCACAAAGCCTTAAAAGAGTGAAAAAGAAGACCAGTGGTACCCCAGGAAGGAAAGGTCGACCAAGAAAAGAACCGCCTGTAGTTATTCCAGAAGATCTCGGTCTGGCTCAGGAAACAGATCCTTCTCCTGTCACACTTCCTATCACAGAACCTGTATTACCCACAATAGCAGAGACACTGCCTTTATTACCAGCTGAGCCACAACCAGAGCCGGCGCCAGTGGAAACAATTAGTGAAAAACCTCTGGAGGAGTTTCTGATTGAGGATCTAGGGCCTGATGAGGAGGAAGACATGCCTCAAAAAAGCATTATCATTGATACAGGTATTTGCAGAAATGCCCCTTTTGTTTTCAACAGGGGTCTTCATTAATTAATGGGTGGTTCATTTATAAAATTAAGCATTTTATTTATTTATTTGTCTGAACAAATGAATAATGTCCATTGATTTTAGGTGATGACGAGCAGCCATGTGCTGACCTGAACAGTCAAGTCTCAATGGCAGTGTATCCTCCAGCATCTGCTCCTTCTCAGCCTGAGAGTCTATCTGAGAATTTAATCATCTGAGGGTCTCCCTTCTACAGAAAAAATGAATTTAATCAAATTTACTATTTCAAAGGATTTCTAAACCTAAACAAGGACAAATCTATATTTATTAAAATTCTTCATGTCTCCATGTATATATACCACTTATCAGTACTCTGTCAAACAAAATCCATTCTATACATATTAATAAAATAAAAACCTGAAATTGTTACAGTATAGTACTTTTGTGTTCTATGATTTTAAAGCAACTAGATCTTTGCCTATATTACGAATAATCTTTGTTTAGTTTGTACAACTGACTATTTTAAAATAAATTGGTTTTATACTTTGTCTTTGTCTACAGTCATTTCGTCACTGAATTCTAAAACCATCACGCTCCTATGGGAATAAATTTTAGTATGCTAAAGGTGCACTATTGACAGCTAACGGTTGAAATGGGTACTGCAGTCCAAATTCAAAATACAGGAGAGTTGTTTTTCCTCCTCAGACTCGACGCTCACGCGGGTTGCCAGATTGAGGACAGGAACCAGTGCAAATATCAAAGGAAGGAAACAAGCCTTACACACTGCGGTGCTGGGTAGATTACTTACAATTACAAATTGTAGTCTGTTACTGATTACATGATGAAAACTGTAGTTAGTAACGGAATCTAGGTTACTCATTTTAGGTAAAGTATTCTGACTACTTCTTAGATTACTTTTAGATTACATTATCTAATTTTCATTTGAAATAAAAAGCAAAAAGGAAGAAAATATTTGTTTTATGTTAACATCATGAAATGCATTAAATACTACATTAGACCAGGGTTTCACTGATGTAAAATATAAAAATATATATAAAAATGTATATATATAAAAAAAAAAATTAAACAACTTTAAAATTTTACACTAAAAATAGAAATATTGTATTTGTTTACCTGCATGTTAATATGAGCATTAAACAATACCAGAGAACTTTAAACATGTGAATGTGTTGTTCAGTTATTTAGATATTAACTAAACTATTTTATTTTAAGGAGTTTGGCTGACAAAAACATTTGGGAATCACCGCATCAATAAATTATGAATAATTTACGGCCATTGTGTAAATAATATGTAATCATATATATCAAATAAATTATGCAATCCATAAAAAGTACCTGTAATCTCATTATGAGCATTTTAAAATGTAATGTCCTCTAATTACAAGTACATAATATTTGGAATCTGATTACATAAGAAGTTACTACCCAGCTCTGACAACATAAGTTGATGAGTTTATTTATCCGCATTTTAATGTGTGTCTGGTTATAGAGATTTAGATCAGGTCAGGTAGAATCTGGAAACTCTGACAGTTCTTTTGCTGGCTTCCATACGCTGTTTTTTCTGCCAACTGGCCACACAGGGTATCAAAATAATACTGGTTAAACTGGCAGTGGGTGAAATCACACAGACCAAAACAAAACCAGACTTTTTGACACAGAACAGACATTTCAAAGTACAATAAATGGCTGCAGCATTGCTTTGTGGAGGAACATGTACAGTGGTGTGAAAAAGTGTTGGTTCACACAGGGCCATGTAGTTTTGGATTTTGTTTTCCCTTAATAATAAAAACCTTCATTTAAAAACTGCATCTTGTGTTATCTTTGACTAATATTTAAATTTGTTTGATGATCTGAAACATTAAAGTGTGACAAACATGCAAAAAAATAAGAAATCAAAAAGGGGGCCAACACTTTTTCACACCACTGTATGTGAACTTAGCATCTTAACTAAATACAGTATCAGCACACATTTCATGGTATTTTATGCTTTAGCAATGTCATAAAATACATACGACACCTTTAATAAACCCAGCAGTTCACTGAAAACATTTAACAAATTAAAATGTTATAAATAATCATACACAAACTATATAGTAGATAGTATGTTAACATTAAGATCTATGTTGTGAACCATAAAAATATCTTAATGTGCTTTGTATCGAAGGCTATGAAATGATCTTTTTAGACTAAAATTAGTTAATCATTAATTAATAACACAAATTAAGGCATAGTTCACCCAAAAATTAAAATTACGTCACTGACTTTTTCTTCTGTGGAACACAAAAGCCAATATTTTGAAGAATGATGGTAACTAAACAATTTTGGTGACCACTGACTTCCATTGTATGGACAAAAATAAAAAAATATTTTAAGGACATTTCTCTCAAAAAACGTTCCATAGAAAAATCAAGTCTTATGGGTTTGGAATGATATGAGGGTGAGTAAATGTTAACAGAATTTACATTTTTAGGTGAACTATCTCAGTATTTATTCTTGAAAATGCGGGAATTTGACAGAAATCTAATTTTTTCTCATAAAAAAAACATATGTGAGTTCTTAACTCTGCATAGGTTTGACTCTCACAACCTCAGCAAAACCATCTCCAAACCAGCAGGTGATGTCAGCAGTATCCAGGGTGAAGAAGAACAGGCGGTCTTGACAACGTGTGCGACGATATACTGATCTAGGGTCAGCTGACAGAATGCCTTTGATGGCTGCCACTGCTTCTTCTGGTCCTTTCAAGAACTGGAACTTTGGTCTTGTGCGGTCTATGAATCAAAAATCATTTAGAAATATTACAACTGCCTTCATTAGAAAAAAAACCTTAGGCATCAGAAAGATCTAATACCTGTACTGTTGCAGGAAACAAACTCTTTGAGCTCTTTCTCAGCATTGGCAGTAAACCGCACGTCTAGGTTACTGACAGGAGGTGCCCTGACCCAGGCAGCGATAGTACTGTAGTCCTCACATCCAAATTTAAGACCGGATGAACTTAAATGGTTGGTTGACAATGAAGTGCATTCAGGAGAATCTGTCTGTTTGTCTTCTGGACTTTCAGTGAAAAGCTGCTGTTGTTTGACATAGTTTTTAACCTCTGCTAACACATCAGTCACATCACTGGATCCAGACCTTTCTGACTGAGAGAAATCTGATGGTCCAGCTGGACAAATTCTGAGCACTGAGGAGGGTTCAGATGATGTCCCTGAGATGTTTGGTTCTTCATCTAGATCCATCACTTGGGGCATCTGAGAGTCTGTGAATGGTGATGTTTGTCTATATTCACTGTTGGTATCATCTCTTCTTGTTTTTGGAGAATCGTAGTCTGGAATATATGGCTTGATGTCTAGCACAGGTGTTCCAGCGATAATATCAACGCCTGACAAGTGAAGTGTATCCCCTTGAAAATCAAATGACAAAGGATTACTATATTGCTATATTCAGCATGTTAAAGGGTCTTTCAAATCATAGGTTCCCTCAAAATTATTTTATGATCTTATGACGGTAAAGAACACATTTTCATATAGTAAACTATCATACTATGACAAACTTGATGTTACACTAGTTGTCCTGTTAAAGGTTTAGTTCACCCAAAAATGAAAATTAGGCTGCGTTTTACTCACCCCCAAGGCATCCTAAGTGTATATGACTTTCTTCTTTCAGATGAATCAGAGTTATATAAAAAATTGTCTTTGATCTTTCAAGCTCTATCATTGCAGTCAGTGGGTGCTGCATTGCTTCAGTCCAAAAGAAGTTAAATAAAAATCGCCCATCCATAAAAAAAAAAAGTGTCTCACACGGCTCCGGGGGGTGAACAAAGGCCTTCTGTAGCGAATCGATGCGTTTTTGTAAGAAAAATATCCATATTCAAAACGTAATAATCACTTTAATGTAGCTTGCGCCAACAGTTGTACACAGAAGCAGTTCCGGGAGCATGACGTATGAGGTCAGCGTTGCGCATGCGCCAGTGAGTCTCGTGAAAACCAACGTTTGTTAACAGGAGCAAAGGAAGCAAAGTTTCCTTACTTCAGCAAAGGAAAACCAGTCTCCTCTTGGCTTATATCGAAATCCTCTGACATTCTTCTTTACAAATCCTCGTTTTGTACTTCTAATTCTTGACCGTTGTTTTGTTTTGATCTCTCTGCTGCGTTTCTGCGTGCGTCACTTCTGAGTGGCGCATGTGCAAAGCCGACCTCATACGTAATTCCCCGGAACTGCTTCCGTTTACAACAGTGAGTGCAAGCTAGATTCAATGAAAAATCAAAGACAATTTTTAATATAACTCCGACTGGATTCGTCTGAAAGAAGAAAGTCATATACACCTAGGATGCCTCGGGGGTGAGTAAAACGCAGCCTAATTTTCATTTTTGGGTGAACTAACCCTTTAAGCTGTTTGAGATTGAGGCAAGTAAATTAAAGGGATAGTTCACCCAAAAATGCAAAAAAATTTGGTCATTAATTACTCACTCTCATGTCGTTCCAAACCTGTAAAACCTTCGTTATAGCGCCATTTTGGAGAGTATCACATACGTAAACAACGTATGCTGTTCTGTGTCAGCAGCACCGTACGCAGATACGCTGTTTACGCTTTGATCTGAACAAACAACGTATATGCGTACATACGTTGTTTACGTGATACTCTCCAACATGGCGCTGTAGGGTGACGCAGAGGAGACGAATTGCTGAATAAAGTCATTATTTTTGTTTTCTTTGCGTACAAAAAGTATTCTCATAGCTTCGTAAAATTACAGTTGAACCACTGATGTCACATGGATTATTTTAACGATCTCCTTGCTACGTTTCTGAGCCTTGATCGTGTAAGGATCCTTGCTGTCTATGGGAGGGTCAGAGAGCTCTCAGAATGCAAAAAATATATATTATTTAGTGTTCTGAAGATGAACGGAGGTCTTACGGGTTTGGAACGACATGAGGGTGAGTAATTAATGACAGAATTTTCATTTTTGGGTGAACTATCCCTCTAAAGCTAAAGACAGTTAATTAAAAAAAATAAAACAAAAAAAATGCTAAAAGCACATAGCAAGATTAATATAAATTACTTAAATTACTATAATTTAATACATATATATTTCATATAAATTGCTTACAAAATTACTATAAAAATAAAAGCTAATTCTCAATATTAATAGATACTGTAGTAATATATAAATGTTGTTAAAATTATACTGCAAACAACATCATAATCATCCAGTAGAGCAGTGGTTCTCAACCTTTTTGACTCCGAGGCCCCCACTGTCCACAACAATATTCAAAGACCCCATGACTTTTTCAGCTGTTGTTTCAGCTGATTTACTACATAAAGATAAAGGTTAACAACTTTTTTAAATGTTTTTTTTATATTTCCACATGATAAAATAATTTAGAGCTAAGCATAACTGAAATGTGTAATCATTATAAAAATTTCATGGAGTTGAGATTATTATTATTTTTTTTTTTACTTCTCCAGTTCTAAAAATCCCACTTTTAAAATTAGGCTACCTTTACTCATATATTCAGGTTTGTCAACACACTGGGAGCCCTGATTCTTCAAAGAAATAAACTATTAAAATTAATTAAAATAATATCTCTACATTTAGTTGTTTTGGCTTATTTTATTTAAGTTTTCTGAAACCCGCTAGTGGGTCCTGGCCTCCTGGTTGAGAACCGCTGTCCCAGAGGTCACTCAGTCTTGTAAATATGTGGTACCTGTGATTCCTTCTAGCTTAGCCAAGGTCAGTCCCAAAGCATTAGGCCTGTGGGGGCTACGGGTGGAGTACACCCCCACCCTCTGGCCATTCAGACGGGGTGGCTTTACTTTGGCTTTGTAGTTCATTTGCCCATTCTTATGGAAGAGGAAAATTATCCTGAGAATGTGAAAGAAAAAGACAAGAGTTCACTTCACACATATGTATAAGGAACTTTCAATTGTCATTAATTAGGCCTGCTCACTTGTCAGACCTGTCTAGAAACATTACCAGGTATCCATTAAATTTACTTCTTGTAATGGCTAAACCCATTCTTACTTGATTTAGCATGATCAACAGTCCCAAATGCTAAATTGCTATTTATCTCAATTAAACAAGTCTCACTATTGTCTTAACTCTGACGTTTTCCAGGACTTGTGAACATTATGCTTTTCTACTAGGGTTGCAATTGTACAAGATTTTCATGGTATAGCAACTAAGAACATATCCTGGTTTGACAGTATACAACATTAACATAGTTCTAAGAACTACAAACATAAAAGTTACAATGCTTTTTGAATGAACATTATAAATGGGGGAAAAAATATTATAATAATACAAAGGAATTTTGTGAGAAGGAGAAAGATTTTCCAATGCAGATTTCAAAACAGGTTCAAGTTGGTCATAGATTCGCCACGGCGACCAACAGGAAGCTGCTTGGTTTAAAAGTGACTTCTGTTTGAACTGTGCTTTACACATTGTTAAATTATTGACAATGGAACAAAATTTTGCAAATGTCTGTAACTGTAATTTGCTTTTAAACAACCTAAATGGGAGAGGGAAAAGTTTTATATATATATATATATATATATAGGACTGTGAGCCCTGAGACCTGTGACCTGAGACCAAATTATTATATCAGCAAGTATTTCTTGAGTTCTGTATGTGGTGAAAGTTGACAAATCTGACAGGAAGTCAAGGAGGAAAGGAGATGTGCAGCACACGCAAATGAGTTTCTCCATCCATTTGCTACATACCAGATATGGGAGTATTGTTCCAGGCCAACTAAAGAATGCTCAGGGTTATTGAAGACTGAGGGTTCAATCTTTAAGCTGGCTCGAGAAGAACTGCATATGGTGGGTTGTCGTGGAGTGCCATTTTTGACTGCAAAACATGAGCTGATGTATCCAATCGGTACCGTCTGAATACGTCCTGAGAACGTAAAGACAGACAAATAGTTTATTTGACATGAAAACTAAGCTGTGACCAAGAGGTCCTAGTTAGACTAGTTAACATGGCAACGATAACATCTGGACTCAAAGAGGGGCTTTTTCTTCACGGACAGCCATTTAGTTTATACATTCAAAGAGTTTTCTCAATTGATGACAAGGTACACAACATTTACAACAACTTAAATGTGGTCTACTAAAGTAGACTGCAGAATCAAAAGTGAAAGTTGGTCAATATGTGTTATTAAATGCATTTTACCTTGCTCTAATAATTGTTTGATTTCACTAGGGCTTTGAGTTGGGCTTTTGCTCACTGATTGTAATTTGTCTTCGTGTTTACAGTCTGTCAGCATGGACTGAAGTGATGACATCTGCTTCTTATGTGCTCGTATGGCTCCATCCATCTGCTGTCTGTGTTTGATCAACAAACCAATCAATGAATGGAGGAAACTTCTTTTCAGGATAATCATAACTCATATACCGCAATCATGATGATTTAAGTACCTACCTGAGATTTTTTATCTCTCTTCTCATTACTGACGCCTGCTGTGTGAGTTTTCTGACTTGTTCAGCACAACTACATACTGGAGGAGACATTTTAATGATAGCTGAAAACCTTATATACTTTCGAAAATATTGTATGCTATGGTAAACTGGCTTCCATCAGCTGCTCTGCGCCCACTGCAGTACGAGCACGTGTTTTGTTTTTGGGAGGAACACGCTGGACAACCAACTACTTTCACAGAAGCGTAACTCTTCTTCTTCTTTCCAGTTTAACGGCTGTTGGCGTTAAGCTTATTGGTGCATTACCGCCCCCTTCTGCTCCGGAGTGTGGATCAGATAATAGGTTATCTATTCCCGTTTTCTACTAAAACTTACACATCACTCACATTGTCCCCTCACATTAATATCCACACACACATCACACATCATATCCTGCTTAAAACCTCTGCTTCCCTTAAAAAAGTAATCAATATTCTACTCTGTGCCCTATTTGCTGTGCTTAGTAACCCTTGTAATGTGATCTCCTGCATCCCAAACTCCCTTAGTTTATTCTTCATTACCTGCCTCTGTGTTTCATATCTCTTACAAGTCTTGATTATGTGCTCCGCTGACTCCTCTTCTCGACATCCCTCACACAACCCTGTCTCGTGCTTCCCTATCATCTTTAGTGTTTTATTCAGTGAACAATGTCCCAACCTTCACCTAGTCATCACCGCATCTTCTCTCCTATTTCCAATTTCCACCCTTTCCTCTTTAACATTTCTCTGAATTTGATATAAATACCTCCCTTTCTCCTCTCTTGCCACCTTTTATTGACTTTCTCCCATATCATGCATTTAACCTCTGCTTTACTTACACTAACCTGCATTTCTATGTTCTCTTTTGTTAGTGCCCTTTTAGCCAGCCTGCCCTGTCTCATTACCCCTAATCCCAACATGTGCTGGGACTCACATAAATCTTACCTGATATCCCTTATTAACTATTCTTGTGTTTAATTGAAGCACTTCATACAGGATATCTTGCCTTTTTGAATGGAATGACCTTTAACTCGCTAAAACTGATAAAGAGTCAGAGCATATCAAACTTGTGTTTAATTGAAGCACTTCATACAGGATATCTTGCCGAGCTTTTGAATGGAATGACCTTAAACTCGCTAAAACTGATAAAGAGTCAGAGCATACCAAAACCTTTCCCTGCCCTTCCCTTTCCACCCATTGCAAAGCAATTAAAATTGCCATCATCTCTACTGTATATACCCCTAATTTATTAGATGTTCTTTTACTAATTTCTATTTATTTTCCCGGAATTGCCACCCCAAACCCTGTTTTTCCTGTCTCTGATTTTTTTAGCACCATCTGTATAAATTTGTATGAATTCACTATAATTACCTCCTACTCGGTTGTTAAATAAATTTTTTCCAGAATAACACTTCTTCTTTAGGTTACTGGAAAATAGAGCACCGCGCAGTGACATACCGCCGCCCACTGTTTACTGTGCAAACAACACAGGCCATATACAGGTGCATCTCAATAAATTAGAATGTCGTGGAAAAGTTCATTTATTTCAGTAATTCAACTCAAATTGTGAAACTCGTGTATTAAATAAATTCAATGCACACAGACTGACGTAGTAAAAAAAAAAAAAAAAAAAAAAAAAAAAAAAACATATATTATAATTTTTTTATTTCACACATACTTCTTTAAAAAAAATAATGGTTGAGCAATTTTGTTAATTTAAATAATGATTAAGGTGTGCATTGTAAGGTGCAAGGAACATATTTTAGTACTTCACAATTTTTAAATATTAATTTAGTCAATACAATTCACTGTTGTCATATTAGAACATCAATTTTAGCTCTACTAAAATAAACCTGCGTATGTTTGTTTGTTTTATCACTCTCTGAGACCACATTTACATAATATGTTCAGCTTTGAAATGCTAATTGGATGGTTTTGTAAAAAGGCCTGTTCACCTCACATTATCTGCGAACATGCCTTGAAGTACATCTTCTTGTTTTACTGGACTGGATAAATCAATATTAAAAGTATATATATTAAGGTACCATTGAATGTGTTGATAATATTATATTTTGAACTTGTCATGTCAATGTTGTAATTTGATTTTACAACACTGTTATGCCTGTGAACCTTGCATATTACATGGATGAATAGAAACATTCTGTTTTTGATTATTCACAAGTTTTAAATGTCTTTAAATGTCACTGCAGACACTGTAGGATAGTAAAGGCTACACCAACACGCTTTGCAGCAAGTGACAAGGACTGCAAGGACTGCCTTTGGGACTATCATAACTGAACATGGTTATGAACAGAGCTAAACAGTAAATTCCAAAGTTTTTATTCAGGTCATCAGATTTGGTAAGCACAATATAAATTAAATAAATATAAAAATGTTTAAATGTTTTTATAATAAATGTTTTTTTCATTAAAATATGACGTCTGATTATTACTGTGTGATTATTAGTGTTTAAATATAGACAACTGTTTAGGGAACTACAAGCAGTACACCCTGCAAAGTCTTGGATGTTCTCTACATTTGTTCAGACAGTAAATAAAATCACTTAAATTCTGCTACCCAAAAGGCCCAACGTTGCAATATTACAACATTTCCCTAAAAACTTACTTACAGTTGGTACTAAATGTCAAAATGGTAAAAATCCTATTTCTGCATTAGAGGCCTCCTACAACAACATGTAAAAGTTTTTTTTCTATATTTGGGTCTTCGAGGGTTAATACTGATCGGTGCATGTGGCAGTTTACAGAACACAGCTTGCGTCTTGTAAATAATAATTCTATGATGTAAATGGGTTTCCGTAAAAAAAAAAAAAAAATTTAGGGAAAATATTTAATTCACAACAGTTCACTAGGTGGCGCCGTGTACATTAAATGCGAATCACCAATAAACCAGAGAAGAAGAAGGAGAGATGTGTTTCCGGATGTTACGCGGTGGTTTTATCCAATCAGGTGATTGTGCGTTTTATTTTGAACGTGCAAGTGGCGGTTAAGCCGACATCGCTTGTTTTTACAGTATTCAAGTACGGATTAAAATAAACAGTGAAGTTCAGAAAAGCGCCTATGAGACGCAAAGGTAAGAATTAAAGAAGGAACACACTTTAATATAAATTAAATCATTAATAATGTTTTGGGTTTGGCGATGCCGTTGTCCAATTTACTTTATTAGCCTCAATAAATAAAGACTGTGTTTTAGAACTTATCACGTTGCATAACGTTACCAGTCTAAACAATATTTAAGCAACATTTGCTATGTGTCTGTGATGTCTAAAATGTCGTGAAGACAGGCAGCTGGCTGGGCGTTGAGACGCCAACAAAGTTGACATTTCTTGAGAGGATGCAAGCAGTGACGTTTATGTCTTACTGTTATGTTATATTTTCGAAGATATTAAGCAGCAAAACTACGCAAACTTTTACTTTCTGTGGAGAAGTGGACCTTATCTCAACAGTTTCTAAGCAGATGTGTGAGAAATGGATATATCATTTTATAAATAACTGTAATGTATTTGAACGCAGGCAGCATTTTGCTTTCTCTTTTTATTAACAAATATCGAACTTTTCTTCAACTCCTATTTATTATTATGATTAGTGTTGTTTACGTAACATAGAGCCTATTTATGTATTTATTAAAATCTTTTTGAAAATGAAAGCAACATTACAGTTGAAAGATGCTGATTTATACGTGATGTAAAATTATGAAATGTTACTTAATTTTGATGCTTTTTTAAAAAGGGTACCAGTTAAAGTTGCATAATATTGCAGTAAATCAAATGTATTTAAAATCACCTCCATTAACTCTTGTTTGTGATTGCAGATATTAATCTAAAAACATGTCATCTGTTCATGGATTGTCAAACGTAAGTACTTCACATCCATGCATATTATAACTAGAAAAAAAAGTGTTGTTCCTACTATCTGACAGTTTGAGCTCTAATCATAGAGGTTTATGCCTTTTTCAGCCCAGAGTTCCACTCAGAGATGTACAGAATGAACTGCTGAATTTGCAGGACAGTCCAACTCTAATGCTTAAGCATGCGTCGATGCATGAGAAGGACCCTAAAACAAAGGTATGGAAACATTCCTTCACTGCTTTCAGATCACTTTGTCTTTTTAACTTTCTGTGATTTCAAGTTCATATGGAAAATATATAAGGAATTTTGCTGTTACTTTGACCTCAGCTGAGATATTTTGTTTTCCACCAGCATGATGTTGTTCCTGGTGAAAACCCATCAAGCTTAACTATCACAACAGACATCCATAGTGATGGGAAAGCTGTGGATGCCACTGATGAACATCAAGATGTCATATTAAAATCCTTTGTGTGTCTTGAAAGAGAAGTTGTAGTTGAGGATGAACCTGTAATGTCAGAAGAGTCTGTTCTCATCAGGCGTCTGGTTCTTGAGGATAATGACCCACTTCAGAGTGACCCAAATGAAACCACTGAACCTGATTGCACAGAAGATAATCAGACCACTGAAGAGCATGTTGATCATCCATACTATTATAGGAGCAGATCTACTGGGCTGGATTCTTCATCTATTTTGTGTCAGGAGGAAGAAGTTTCCACCTATGAGCTGGGAAATGTCACATTCAAATCCCTCATGTGCTTAGGTGGAGAGGTTCAGGTTTCCGATAACTCCGCTATCTCTGATAAATCCATTCTCATAAAGGATCTAGCATCAGGAAATCACTCACAATGTAAAAATACTCCCATTTCTAAAGTGGGCACAGAGGCTGTATCAGTAAGCAGTCAACCTCTGGGTCATTCTTACTGTAATTGGAAGTCTTTGTGTGAAGATAGTAGCACCATCAGTACAGTTGATGCAGATGACGTCTCTCAGTCAAATGTTGCACACATTGTAGGTATTCAGTGTACCCCGAAAAATACAGTGAACCTAAAGAATCATGATCAAGCTGATCTCTCTGAAGGATGTCATGGTGTATCTAGCGAAGAAGGAGAAATCACTTTTAAAGGCTTGTGTTGTTCTGGAGTTGAAATAGAAATTGCTGATCTCTCCAATGTGTCAAAAATGTCTGTGCTTATGGACAATCTTGCTGAAGAACAAAGTCCGTCTTGTTTAAATGACACCAGTGAAAATGATGGCCAAAGCTTTGCTTATTTGACACCAGGAAGGAAGCATGTTGACCATATTTACTGCCATGCTAAGGAAAAGCCACTGGTCCTAAATATGTTGACTACTGAAAATGGGGTCTGTTCC